AAAATAATTGGCTTAATAAAATTTTGTAAAATTTTAAAAAGAAAAAATAAATACCATGAGATTATATATAAGTACCCCTACCCTTAATCCAAATAATACAGTAATAATTATGAGTAATAATCTAATAAAAACTTATTCTAAATAACCCAATTCACGAAAAAAGTTTACTGCTATTTCGGGTGTGATCTGTGCATATGCTACTATGATCGCATAAAATGGATCATTCACAGCATTCATAAAGTCCCTATTCCTCTTAATCCAACTTTTAATAATACTAAAGGCAGTTTTTATAGGATTATAGTCAGGAGAATAAGGCGGTAGAAAAATTACATGGCATCCAAGTTCTTCCACTATATTAACAAATATTTCATTTTGATGAATCTTTGCATTATCAAGAACAATAATGTTATTTTTTCCAGGAAAAGGATTCATTATGGAAATCTATATTATTAAATATATATTTTAATAATAATAATTAAATATTTAAATACATAGCAATAAAATTTAATTAACTTACCACTTATAACAAAATAAATTCACAAAACCGCTCTTTATCACAATTACTTTTCATAATTTCAACAGCCAAAAAACTATCTAGTGAAAGAGTGGGTAAAATGGTGTATTTTTTATCACGAATAAAAGTAATCTTTTTTCATGCTTGAGTATTAATGGGTGCATATTCATAATATCGATTTACATTGCATTCGTCCTTTCTAGATTCATTTATAAAGATCAACTGGTCCAGATGAAAATTGGCTCCAATGTTAGCCAGGTAAGCGCTCCGCAAACACTCATTTCTCTCAGAGGCCATCTTGTATAATTAATTAAAAAAAATCATTTATGACTTCTATTTCTAACAAAAATGCTTTTTTTTTTATAAATTTTTGGTTACCTTTTTGTTGAAGATATCACAGTATTGCAATGATCACTATATGGTCGATAGAGAAACTTGCTTTTGCAATAGTTTGCCATCTCAACTGCAAGCTCATCAAGATATAAATCTACTTTCTCTTTAACAATACATTTTAATAGGTCCAATTCTTCACAGTTAAAGATTTTCCTACACCCAGATTGTTCTTTAAATAGATTTTTGATGTATCCTCACTTTTGAAAAGTCTTTAATATTTGACGTATAGAAGATTCGCTTATAAAAAGAAGCGTAGTAATATCTTTATTATTATAACTATTTAAATTCAAATAAATGACTCTCTATCTTAGATCTTCACTAAGTTCCCGTGGCATACTGGATTAGAAAGTGATTTGAAAACATGAATATGATTAATGAATTGTAAGTAATTATTGTCTGTATTTAAAAAAAAGGATTTGGGATTTTTGTAGCTAAAGTTTTTTATACTTGAGTGCGACTTTATACTGTTTTTAAAATTTTTAAAACTAGAAAATTAATTTATAATGTTTCTTAAAAATGGTTCTTAAAATATAATGCTCCTTAAAATATTAATTCCTTAAATGTTCCTTGTTCTTTAAAATGTTAATGTTTCTTAAAACGGTAAAATGCTAATGTTCCTTAAATGTAATGTTCCTTAAAACGTTAAAATATTAATGTTCCTTAAAAATTTTAATGTCTTAAAATGTTATTAGGATTTCTACAAACAAAAGCATAAAAGGTAATTGTTACTCTTTTTCAAGAAATAAAGTGGTTTTTTAAATTAATACATATCTTATTAGATGATTGTTTAGATGCTTTATTATATAATACATGTAGTTATGATTTTTACTTGGTCTTTCTACATACTTGCTTGGTTTGTCCTACTGACTGGAAGTCTTCCTACTTATGATTTTACCCAAGTACTTATAATTTATAGTTGACAAATTTAATTAGACATATGAATACATAACAAGCATGATTGTTTTATTCTTTTTTATAATTATATATATACAGAAAAGTTTGTAAGAATAAAACTAATATAATTAAAATAACTGTCAAGATATTTGAGCTTAAAAATAGCAAAAAAAAAATTGCTTCACAAAAACTACCTCAGTAATACTAATTTTAGGGGTATCGATTCAATGTTGCGATAATACATAATCTAATTTCACTTGATCTTTTATTATATTAGTCTGTTAAGTGACTAAAAATCTATTTTAACAATAATTCTCTTCCAAATCGATTGAGTGGAATAACTAAAAAAATGTGTTCAATTTTTAGTTTATTTGTTTTAGATAATTCGAATAAGTAATAGGGCTATATCGATACAACTATCTTATTAACTTATGTTATAAATATGGAATAGTGAACTTAACAATGATGTGACTTCTTATTGATGATAAAGTTCTTGATCGAACAAAATTTCTAACAAAGGATAAAGCATTGCTGAAGGGTCGAACCATATTTAAAAGTTAAAACTTTATTGTATATATTGCTAATAAGATGCAATTATTTTATATTGAGATTGGATTATGCTGAAAATTTGACCTATTTTATTATAAAATTATAATAGTTTTTTTTTTATTGTTAATTTAGAATTTAAGGTAAATATATATTATTAATAAGAGTATATGGAAATGCTCACAGCAAAAGCAGGGGATGAGGCTATATATTATATAGTTTCATCCTCTGCTTTTGCTGTATATAGGAATTTAGTAAATATTTTAGATTTAAATAAGGATCCAAATCTCAGTATAAGCTATCACTGAAATCAAATTAATATGAAAATTTGAGCTATTTAATTTGAAAATTACAAATTCTTTAGAAATTCATTTTTAGGCTTTTTTAAGATTTGGGTTAGGATTTTGGGTTAGAATTTGACAAGAGTATAAGTGGATTTTATAGGTTTAAAAGGAAATTTCAAATTTTATTTTAATTTGATTCGCAACAATAATTACGGTTTGAAGTAATATACTTAATAGGATTTTATACACTTATTAAAATCTAATTTTGTTGTTTTTTTTTTTTAGATTTTATTTTCGATAATAATTCGGATGAAATGAAACAGTTCATTGTTTATTATCACGAGAAAGGATTATAAATTTAGTATGATAATATTAGTAATATCCTGAGCTGTGAGGTATTAGTTTTCGCTTATATATATACAGAACAAAATAATAATGATCAATTTTGGATAGCAATCAAGAGACTAGGGATTATTAATAGGATATAATGAATTCAACTAAATCAAAATTTTTGCCTACAGATATTTGAATTCATATAACTGGATAGCAATCACATGTATTTCAAATATCAATACTTAGTAAAACCTATATTTCATATTTTTTTTACCTTACAGAATGGGACAAAACGACATTAAACATCAATTACTCTATTACATCTAAAGTTTTTATTATCAATAAAGAACTTTTACAACTCACTATAAAGGTGTCTCAAGATTTCTCGCATTTAGTAAATTTTTTTATTCTTATACCTTTTGTTACTGTATAATACGATCTTATTAGATTTCAACATAAAAAATTAATTTTATAATAATTTTGGATTTGGGTAGAAACTAATACCAAAATTTAGATATTTAGTAAAGTAGTACTGTACGGTGGTATGGATTCGAGTGGATATACGAAAGTTATACTAAATTTTTATCGTATGTACAGTTAATATAAATTTGTAAAATTTAGTTTTTATGAGTAATCCTTCTTATGGTTAAGGTTAGAACAAGCACCAGTATTGTTCTTTTTCTGTTAGGGCATAGACAGATAGTAGGAAAGTAACTTTGGCTTGACAAATTTTTTTTTTTTTACAAACTATACATACTATCACGATTTCTATACATCTCTCCTAATTTGTGTTTCAGTATTGTACTACTTTACTATGTCTAAAATCTTAATCTGAGAACTTATATTTAAAAGATACTGTATTCAGTGACAATAGTACTTGGGTTTTTTATTTATTTAAAAAAAGAATCAGGTATTAATATACTACAATAGTCTTAAAACAGATTGCCGTTCATGATAATTATGAAGTAGATATATTTCATGAATTTCAACTCGAAAAACACTTTTTTAATTGTGTAAGTACTATCACTTTAAATTTATATATAAAAATTAAAATTTTAATTAATTTAAATCTTATTGTATTTGAAAGCGAACGGTTATTATTATCATTATTATACTTATCTTTGATATTATGCCATTATTATTATTATTATTATTATACTTATCTTCTATATTATGATCATTATTATTATTGTTATTTTTATTGTAAACTAAATATTAGCTTATAAGAATAAATATTTAGTTCAAATCTTTTAACTAACAAATAGCTTAGTATAAAGTTTAATTTCTTGAATGGTATAGATTTCAAAAATGATAAGCAAAAATTATCCTCTAAATTGTAACTATAATAAGATCTTTACTTCCTAAGATATGAAATAAAAGTTTTAATTCTTGGAAACTAGAATAATATAACATATAATCAAATTGATCTTGCCTAAATAATAGATTACCCTCAAATCCACATTGCTGTTTTTCAGTCTTGTCCAATCTAGAGCAGAATGACTAGATTCTAAAATACTTTTTTTCATAGTTTGTTTGCCTTTTCAAGAGAGTTAAGTTTTTTGGATTATGAAGAATTTGTGTGCTAAGGGCTACTAGGAAGGAGAAAAGCTGATGTAATGTTTATGTATATTTTGCACGCTGGGTTGAAGGATTGAAAAGATGATTTACTACTTGAAAATTTCAAATATACCATCTCTCAGTTTCAGAATAACTCTGTTTGAGTTTACAGTTAGCTGTACATACGGCCTCAACAATAATTAATTCTGAATTGAGATATGTATTATTAGGAGAAAGAATTCCACCATCAGATCCATAATGATCTAGTTGTTTCTTTGGATTTATCAAGAAGGTCAAAGCCTAATTCAAACAAGTATTGTTCACATACTGCAAATAATTCATTTTCTAACTCATGATTCTTTATCTTTTCAGATACCCATGCTAAAGCGGGTTGACATGCTGATTACCACTATATTTTATATTTATCTAGCACAATTTTTATATATATTATCTCTGCTAGAACCTTTCGAATTTTTGACCTAACCTTGCTCATATTTTACGTTCGTGGATTTTCTATTCAGAATAAGATGGATTAATTGACTTAATAAATAAAATATTACTGAAGCACTTATATAGTGCAACTTATACCCTCCTACGCTGATCATAGACTATAATACTTATATATACAGCTTAAATTGTAAAGTACCCTGGGTATTTTAGACCACCTTACAAGCTCATAAATAAAATCCAGACCTTTTATATTCAAATATTGTTGTGGTGGGGGTCTATAGTAGAGTTTTTCCGGTACTGTACTGAATCAGAGGCAAACACAACTTAAATCTGAGAATGCTGAAGATTAGACAAATGTTGTAAAACCATAAAAGCTCATAAATAAAATCCAGACCTTTTATATTCGAATATTGTTGTGAGGGGACCTACAGTATAATAGAGTTTTCCCAGTCCTGTACTGAATCAGAAGGCAGACCACTTTGTTCAGTGACTTTGTTTATCAATCATGTGGAATATTGATGATGAATCACATATTGTTCCAAATAATAATAAAGAAAACAGAATAACTTTTGCAAGAAAAAAAAA